TTTTTTTTTTTTTTGAGGGCTCAAATACTATATAAATCTTACGTATCAATTTCTTTCATCCTCTGTTTATTGGGAACTCGATCTCCTTCATTTTAAACCAGCTTCCCTCCTGCCCACCTTTTTTTCCCTCCCCAAATGTTACAGCTACTTTAGACCTGACTGGATCCAGTTCTTATTGTTTCAATTTTACAATTCCACAACATTCGTGAAAATGTGAAGGCACCTTCCAGATTCCCAAACCACACAGAAATCACTCTAAACCATCCTCAAAGAGCCCTTTCTTTCCTTCCTTCCAGGGCAGAGTCCTCTTTAAATGCTGTCCCTACAGAAGCACGGGTGTCTGCCTGCCGCCTACCTTGAATAAAGTCCTTTTCTCTTGGGCTTGAGTCCTGGCTGCAGAGAAATCCCGGACGGTTTGAAAATCTCCGTCGACAGCATGCTCTAACGCCTGTAGCCACGCTTCGATCTCATCGAGCGGGGAGGGCAAAGCTTGGTTCAGTTTTGCTTTCCACGTGTTGATCTGAAGAGGGGGTGGAAAATTCATCAGAACCTTTTTCGTGCATTTCTTCACACACAGTACGTTTACATCCTTAACGCTGCTCTGCAAGGCAAATCTGACTAATGCAATAAAAGGAAGTCTTTTCAACAGGGCGACTTCTGAGTTCTGATGGTCACTAGCTACATGCTGATGGAGCAGACACTTCATTCAAAAGCTGTAAAGGGGACATGGGCCGAAAACAAACATTTTCATACACGGGGTATGAGGCTAGCTAGTTAAATAAGGACCAGGGAGGAAAGAAAAAAAACAAAGCATGCCAAAGGTGGATTGTATGATTGTCCTTCGGCCTGTTGGCCCTGTGTTCTCTGACATGAGAACTACATGACCCACACAAATCTCTACATTCTTTTCTTCACCATCCTCATGATAGGTTCACATTACATAGCTCCACTATGACTATGATCCTGAAGCTCTTCTTAACCAGCCAAAGAAGCAAACAAAAGCAAATCCACTGCCCACCAATTGAGGCTGACTCTTAGAGACTGTAGGACAAAGTAAACCTGGGCCGGCGTATTTCCAGCGCTGCCAATCTTTACGCAAACAGACGGTCCTATCTTTCTCCTGGGCAGTGGCTGGGGAGTTGGAGCTGCCAACTTTACAGTTAGTAGTCAAGAGTTTCCCTAAAACGCCCTGCAGTCTGAGTGCACCTCCTTCCATGGCCCCACGCACATCAACCGTTTCCCTAGTCACTTACTGCTTCCCCGTGTCTTGGCTAGGGGCTCCTTCTACCTGAAGATCCCCCCTTCGGAGCACCAACACAGCCATGCATGCAATTCACGCATTGAGCACACCGTTGCAGACCGTCTGTCATGTTAGGGATGAAGCTCTTGAGAGTGCGAGAGGAAGGAAAGATAGCACGATGCATGTACCAGCTAGACCAGACACAGCCACGTGCATGCGTCACAAACACATGGCCTCAAAAGAAAAGAAACAGGACGAGATGTAGCACCAATGCCAACCTCAGAACTTGAGAAGGCATGAAACACAAAAAGATTCACATTTCTAATTGAAAGTGTGGCTTGAAAGGAAAGGGCTTCACATCAGTCCATACGGGTTCAGTCTAAATAATGTGGATTTCTACCCCAGATACATGGAATCTGAGTCTACATTTTAATATGAGCCCCACATGACTTGTATCCGGCACCAGGTGATCAGTTTATATCATTATTACAATCACAGGATGAGTGCTCTTCTAGCACTCTGCTCAAAGCTGCGAACAGAGCACCAGCTCACAATGCTCGGAGCACCATCACTTGCAGGGAAGTTTTATGAAGCTGCCCTAGACCTTCAAAATGCAGTCATCCGAAAGACTGGCACTGGGAAGCCACTGGACGATTTATTAGCACGCTTAGAAAATGGTGACAACAGCTGCACACCAACAGTCAAGAACCAACTCTGCAAGGCCAGTGAATTCTTTGTTACCATGGCCAGACAGTAAATATGTGTTTACTTTGCAAGCCATAGAGTCTCTAGTAACAACCACTTGATAATACACATAAAAGGGCTGCATTGCATGGTATGTAAACGCTACATCAACAAAGCTGTCTTTGAAAAGGTGGAATAAAGGCATTCCAAGATCGAAGGAAATCTATAGCGCCTGTTCCTCACGGATCAGAAATGTAAGTTAGGCTGAAGGACGTGCTTCAGGCTGAAGGGCAATAACCTGGTGGATTTGAATCTTAAGGACAAACCGAAGAACACTGGAAATGGTATCTAGATAAATATCAAAAACTAGTCATCCTAAATACAAAAATCTTATCCATAGCTAATGATAATGTTTTTAAAGATATGAAGCAAACATGGACAGAATCAATGGGAGTCATCACTACAGATTTTAATCCCCTCTCTCAGCAATTAATAGAACAATCAGAAAAATGATCAGTCCAGACATAGATGATCTTAAACTACATGATTAACCACGTTTGCCTAATTGTTATTTACAGAATACTCGCCCAAAAACAACAGAATTTGTGTTCTGTTTAAATGCTGGTTTGGCAGCAAGATACACCCTACGGGGAGGGGGGGTACTATACCTCAAGTTTCACTGAATTTAAAAGGACGCACGTCATGCATCTATAGTCAGACATACATACATACATACAGTCCCACACACATAACTTCTGGACTTGTCCCTCAACCTCTTTGAGCAAGAACTAAAAAGAGACATAAGACACTAGCTTGCGGGAGAAAGGAAGCTGCAGGTCAGTCAGAATTTAAACAATGTATCGGACAAACCCAGAATGGATGGCAAACCTAAAAACTGTAGCTCAGCTTGTCAGTTCTCTTAGCAGAATGTTACACATTCCTATGTAAATGCAACCACTCTACAAATGAGCACAAGGAGACGACATAAGGACAAGACAAAAACCCACTTTCGAAAGAACGGTCTACCCCGAGCTTTAAGAATTCCCCGGGGAAGTCTAAAGTCAAGTCCTCATCCAACAAAGCAGAGCTGCCCTGGGCAGAGGCTCCCCTGAGGGAGGGGATGCAGGACGTAACCTGGTGGCTGAGGCTGTCCCAAGCCTGTCTCAACGGGAGCTCATCTTCACTCAGCTCAGCGAGAGCCTGTCTTCGCCACGGGGTGTCCCCAAAGCGCTGTTTCTCTTCATTGAACGACCCCAGAAAGGACAGCAGCCTCTACAATGACAAGAGGGATGGTGAAGATGGAAACGCACAATTCCACTTATACAACGGAATCT